CACATGTGTCTGATTTATGGGCCATATTTGGGAACAAGGCCCTTGAGAATTTCTCCCCAGTGTCTTCTCTACCCTGGCTCACAGAAAAATAAATGTTTTCTTAAAGATCTTTATAGCCAGTTGACATTGACACAACCTCCAAATCATCTTTCTAGTAATTCAAGTTCATTGGTCAGTGATACATTGGAAAGCAATAACAAAAAATACCTGACCCTTCATAGTTTGAGAAGCACTGTTCTAGGTCCTGGAGTACTACAAATGGAGGGAACTAATCTTCCTAGTAAAGCTGTGAAGAAATTGGGAACATTGAAACACCAGATATAATGGAGAGTGAAAATAAAATGGCAGGTGCAAAATATGAGGATTGCAATGGTCCACATTACCATCATGACCAATATCACATACATGCATAAAGATGCATACAAATATGCACACATACACAAACAGAGCTTCCATACAGAACACTTGGAAGACAGGCACTTATTTCTCAGACACACGCCCAGCTATGTCCTTTCTAAACACATCAAATAGAATGAGCAAAGACTTCCTCATCCTGAACTTTAAAGGCTCCTGAGTAATACTGATCCCTCCCAAGTAAAGCACGTGAGTCCACAAGCCTCCCAGTGTGAACAGACTCTAGAGCTGTTTATTGCCTCATTATTAAATATTCCAAAACATTAAGGATCACCAGACTTTCTAGGAACCAATTTAAACATTGTTAGAGGCAGAAGGAAAGCAAGATAAATAGGGACAGGTATACCGAGTCATAATTATGATAGAACTGCAAAGACTCTAAGTAAGCCTGGTGTCTGGAGGTGCGTACTCTGAAGTGATCATCCACTTCTCTCTGTGTGCTTGTGATATAACCAGAAAGGTGTCACATTTTTTAGTGTGTTTTACCTATGGAAGCTCCATCTTCATTATAGTCCTAATTATTCTGTAAAAAAACTCCCACAGAGGTAATCTCATTGTGTTCTTTGAAGCTTAAGAGCACCTGTCCAGTTCACTATTCATGGCTTAATATGTGTATAACATGAGTTTGAATTATTTTAGTTGCAAATAACAGAAAACCCAACTCAAACTACTTTGAGAAGTAAAGGAGATTTATTGACTCATATACTTGGAGATACAAGAGATGGGGCAACCTTCAGGTAATATGGAATCCAGGAACAGAGTGGAGGTCTCAAAAACTATTATTACACTATTATTTTCTTAACACTATTATTTTTTGCCATCACAAAGTAGGGATATTACCAAAAGATACTGTATAACTGGAGCAAGTTCTTTCCATTTATCATCATGGCTGATTTTTCCTGAATTTGTTTGGAAAACTGACCTATTCCCTCATAGCATGTAGGAGAGAGACTCCAAAATGTCATTCTAGCTGGCTTGCATTCACTCAAGTCAGAGATTCTGGAACCGTGTTTGGATTTGTTCCACTCCAAAAATAACCCGTTCCCAATGCTTTCTCCCATGATTTCCTTACTGTGCTAGAATTCTGTGGGTACAAAAGGAAAGGAATTTAAGGTCAGATGGTCATGACCTCCTGGTGCCTTTTCTTTCTCACTTAGAGAGATGAGACCCAATCAGATACGATGTAGGTTTCAGTGTCTTTATTCTTTTATAAACATTTTGTTATATGAATAGAGACAGATTACATGTTTTCAAATGAGATATAATTTTACATTTTTATCATGCCTGAGATTCTTTCTTAGCCATTCCCCGCTCCTAATAGCTTTCTCCTAGACACATATATACTCATTATCCTAACATTCTCCTTTTTCTTCTTCACCTTGTTTTTTTAAATTGTAAAATGTTTTCAATGGAGAAAAAAAAGTTAACGATTGTTTAAAGATTCTTTCCTAACATTGAAAAATCTGAAAAAAAAACAAACTCATTTCTTTCATTTAAGGAACTAGAGGCCAGTTGGAACCCACAGATAGAATATAAAATTTTTTTGCAAACTGTAACAAAGTTAAAACTGCATATTTGTTATAAATTAGGCAGAGGGAGATGCACGCATGCCACCTAGTTTGTGCTTAATGAAGCATTAGTAATAAGAGTCATGGCTGGTAAATGTATGGAAATAGCCCATTGTCCCACAATTAGAATTCCCCAAGAGTCACTTAGTCCTTGGGAAGGGATTTGGTTCACACAGTGCTGACCCTGGAGCCCTGCAGTAACATGCAGCAGCGAGGGACTGCCTGCTGCCCACACCTGGGTGACCTGTTGTTACAGCAGGACAAGTACTATGTACTTGGGAGGCAACTAGAAGGGTTCTTTGTAGCCTGATGGATTAAATTGGAATTTCCAGGATCTATCTTTTAAGCAGAAATTATTTGAGCAGACAACTGGGTGTAAAACATTTTGCTAGGCTCTGAGGATGGAATTGTGACTTGGTACCTGTTCTCATGGAATTTATGGTTAAAGGGGGAAGGGAAACATTGCATAAATAATTACAAAACTAAACATACAGTTACAAGGTAGGATGAATACGGTGAAGCACAAGTGTAGGATACAATGAGAATGTATCACAATGGGTTTAACCTAATTTGTCAAGTTATGAAATTATGAGTCTGGCAGTGCCATTCACTGAGACACTGAACTGCGATGGATGACCAGACCTGAGTAAAAACATCATGGTTCTAGTTGGGATAATCTAGGTTTGAGGTAGGTATACAGGGACATTAAATATATACTCAGATACATGGTTAAATCTGGATTGAAGATGAATATTTTTGAATCCTTGATCAACAGGTGATAAGCTACAGGTGAAAATGAACTTAGAAAAGAGGGTCTATCCCTTAAGGAATTCCAGCATTTAAAGTTTAGGAAGAGGAGGCTAGTTGGCAAAGATTGAAGAGTGACCAGGTGGCAGAGGCAGATCTACTTTGAAACTGATGAAGCTTAAGATTCTGGGTCGAATTCTTGCGTGGGAGGAGCCCTAGACACGTTTGCAGGGTCATGTATTTTTGTAAAATTTTCAAAAGAAAGATATCTTTTTTTTTTCTTAAAGCAGAGCTCCAAATTGTATAAGCTTCAGGTCCCACACATCTGCCCCTATGTAACAGGAAGGAGCAAAACTGAAAGTGTGATTGCAAGGAAGTGGTGGGGGGTGTACTTCTGAAGAGAATGGTCAACTAAGCATTATGAGTGCTTCTGAGAGGACAAGAAATGTGAACAGAGAAACATATGCATTGGATTTCAGTAGTGGGCATTTATCAGTGTCCCTAGTAAGAGCCCTCCCAGTGCACTGATTTTGGTAGAAAGCCAGATGCATTTGGTCGATTTCAAGAATTTGAACTGTGAAGGAGAGAGGAGGAAGGGTGGTAGCAGGAGAGAAACTGGAGAGAAAGATTCTCTAGCTCAAGAAAAGTTTGATTTTAAGTTGTTAGCTATTCAAAGAGGAGGCATTATTGGAATTCTCCAAATAGTATGCGTTGAGATAACTCTGGCAAAAACACAAAACTTAGGTGAAGGAAATGTGTTTTTTTTTGTTGTTTTTGTTTTTTTTTTAAATAAGGGGGTACTTGAGAATGCTGATGAAAGGTTTCACAATGTGTTGAAAATTCAAGGGAAGAGATAAGTTCTGATGAGTTTTCCCTTTATCCTAACTTTACTTTCATTTGCAAAGGACCCAGAGGTGATGAGTACCCATAGACTCTGAGGAAATCTAGTCAGTGTTTTTTTTTCCCCAGTAGGCAAATCTACACTGCTCATGTTTGTGAAAGCACACAGGGCCTTGGAGGTGATGGTACAGTCTCCACACAGGGCACTGAGTTCACTTTACTGAACTCCCAATCATTTGCAGGCAAACGACATATTTCACAGCTTACTGAAAATAGCCAGTGATTGCAGAGGGCAGAGGGAGTTCTAAGGGGGTTAAATGGCAATGAGAAAAATACAATTAAAATTTTCAACTTAAAAAAAGCTCAAATCAGTTTCCCACTTAAGTCTTGTATATGTTTTAAACTGTCTTTCCTTTGAAATAATTTGGTAAATATTGGAGAAATTCAAGTTTTCTATAACAAAACAAAAAAATTAAATCTGACAAAGAAGAATTTTTATTCAGGATATTAAGATAAATTCTTTTTAAATTTTTTAAATTAGACTTCTGAGTATTCTTTGATGTATACTCTAATATCAGGCTTATGTATTGAGAAAGGGAGCAATTTTCTTCCATGGAAAAGATTACTGGAATTCAGGAATTGAGGGTATAAGAGAGGCAATCCTTATTTTAACCCTATTTATTATTTATTTGAATTTATTGGGTTGATACTCGTTAATAAAATTATGTAGGTTTCAGGTGTACAGTGCTATAATAATCACTCCAAGTTAAGGAGTTAAGTCTCCTTCCATCAACATTTATTCCCCCTTTAAGACAATCTTAAATGGCACAAAATAAAAATATTTTTTCTAGCACGATTCAATCCTGAACCCTTCCTCCATGTTTGTTTTAATCTTCTAATTGGATCATATGTCTAAGAATGAACAGTGATTTGTTAAAAGTAACTTAGAAAGTAAGACTGTTAGCTCCACTTCGCCCCATGACTCTTCATTAAAGTGCTTCTCATCACCATTCCATGCCACTTTAATAAGCTTCCCATGCAGAAAGCATCCACAGAGCAGTCCATATATTAAAAAATGTTTAAGACTCTATAAATAGAAATAGAGGTTGCCGGTTCCCACAGATCGATAGATTTAGCTAATTAAAATATAGGACGCCCAGTTAAATTCGTATTTCAGATAAACGAAAAATATTCTTTAGTATAACTATGTCAACAAACATCGCATGCGATATAGGTGTGCAAAAATAATTATTCCTTTCTACTTGACACTCATATTTAACGGGCCGCCCTGTATTTCCTCTGCCAATCTCACAGAGTCCATTCCCCACATCTCAAGACCAGCGCCCCGGAGCCAGTTCAAAACCTAGGACCGCTGGCCGGGCCGCGCCCTCTGATTGGCCGAGGCGCGCCCGCCCCGCCGGCCGCAGGCGTCACGCAGCCTGGGCAGCACCGGCCCCGCCGCCGCCGCCGCCGCTGCCGCCGCCTCCACCGCCTCCACCGCCTCCTCCGCAGCCTCGGTCGGCGCAAGTGCGGCGCGCGCTGGGGGAGGGGGCGCGGCGGAGTGAGAGGTTGGCGTCCGGCCACCGGGGATTAAGTTTCTGGGTTGCGCGTGAGTGTGTCAGCGCGTTTATCCCGAAGCTCCTCGCCGGGCCGTTACTTCAGAAGAGAAGAGAGAGAACGTGGGCGAGGCAAAGCACTCCGAATCCCCGGAGACCCGGGCTCCCCAGCCCTCTGCCCTTTTCCGCCCCCGCGCGGGGCAGCTGCCGCGAGCCGGGTAAGAGGCTGCGGGGCACTGGCCGGGAGGCCGGAGCGCGCTCCCGCGCCTTACACGCGCGCCGGCCGGGGGTGCGCGGGTGCCCGGGGCTCGGCGCGCGGGCGGTCGGCGGGCGGGTGTGCTAGCCCCGCCCCGCGAGGCCTGGGGAGCCACCGCTCCTCTGGCTCTTTAAAAGGATGAGGTCTGGAAGTTTCTTTCCTCTGTTCCTCGCACGGCCCCTTGAACGATAATCCCAGACCTCTCATTTTCCCCCTCCCCCAACCCCTCGTTTTTCCTTACTTTAAGTGGTTTGAAAGTTTTCTTTTCCTTCGTCTGGAGGGGCGTAATGCCAAGAAGGGGGACCCGGGCCTGGCGCGTGGGCCGGTTGCTCCCAGGCTCAGGAGCCTGTTGCTCTCCGCCGTTGTGGACGCGCCCCAAGCCGGACACCCCTTCCACTGTTAACGCTGTGCCAGGCCGTGAAGGCTGGGTAGGGGGTGGAGGGAAATGTCTCCACACTGGTGTCCCCCCTCGTTCCCGGGCAGCTTGGCCCAGATCGCGCCGCTAATTGGTACCGCCGCCCGCAACCCACCCCCCACGCCGGCGTCTGTTCCTTTTTATCAGCTGCCCTTGTTGGTACCCACATTTTGCCTTTGCTTACCCCCTTACACCTCCCACTGCCCCCGCGCCCCCCACCCGCCGTCCCGCTTCCCGCGCCGAAGGGCGGCTTTTGTCTGATTTCGCTGCCCAGGGATGCCGGATGTTACTGGGGAGGCGCTGTTCGGGAGACGCTTTGTGTCTTGGGGAGTTGTGTGTGTTGACGGTGGTGATGGTGTAAATTTTTGCTTGAGTTCTATTGCAGAAGCGCAGGAGTCGGGATATTCTCTCCTGCAGATCACTTGGAAATTGAAGCTGGGACTGCGGAGGGGCAGGGGGATGGCGGGAGGTGGCCGCCGCTGCGCAGTGGCTAGGGGCTAGTTGGGGACCGCGGGGCTTCTCCATCCATCTCTGCGGGTGGGGCTGCTGAAGTTACTCTGGGAAGAACTCAGGCCTGGACGCTGTGTGCCTTGGGTGGGGGGGATGCGGGTGGCGACTAGGGTTTCATGGGTATCATCAGATTAAATGACCATGACTTCCTAGCCAAAAAGGAACCCCTCCATGTTCTTTTGATGTTGAGAGGGGAAGAATCTGAAAAATGGACTATCATCCAGTATTGGTGGACAGCTGTGGTGTAACCATCCCTTTTGTGTTTCCGTAGACATTCCTCATCTAGGTTACATTTTACAGAACCAATAACACCTGATCGGAAAAACTAACAAGGTGATGGTTTGGGGCTTGGGAGTATTTACATGTAGAAGAACTTTGGTATAGTTGTCTATAATGAATTTTTTGTTAGGGTCGAATGGTCTACATTTGTAATGTGTGTGTTTAGCGAATGATACGATTTAAATAAACAGTTACATTAAAAAACCCAACAAAACTCGAAGTTCTTTGGCTTGAACTTCTATTACAATGCAGAAAGCTCTGGATGGATGCACCTGTCCCTTGCTAGGGAGACGCGTGAAAACTTGGAGGGTGATGGGAATAATCTTGCTTGAGATACTTAGACATGCTGTTTGTTAATGGACTAGTTTACAAATGGGCGGATCAATCTAGAGTGGGCTCTGTCCCTCCTCAGAGTTCACATTGGGGTCATTTAAAGCAGAGGTCTGTAAATTTAAGGGCCGTAGACTAAAAACTTCCCAGCTGCAATGGTGTTTTTCACTAAGGTTTAGGAGCTTGGAATGGTTTGTACATTATTAAATGGTTGAAAAAAAGAATATGTCACACGTGAAAATTATACAAAAATCAAATTTCAGTTTCTGTGTTAAAGTTTTATTAGAGCAGAGCCACACTTATTCCTGTTGTCTGTGTCTTATTCTTACACGGTGCGTGGCTGCTTGCACAGCGAGTGGCAGAGTTGAGTAGTTTGCATGGCTGAGATAGAAATGTTTAGCCTTTGAAGTCTGAAATATTTACGATGTTACTCTGTACAGAAAAAGTTGCCAGCCAAGACCAAAACGTATTGTTTAAATACTCCCTTTTGTGATGGGTGCATTGTTTAATTTCATTGCCTTTCTGGCCTTGTTTCAGGGGCGCCCCACAACTGGCAGGATTTTCCCTAAAAGGTAGATCACTGTGTTGGATTTTCTCATTTCCAAATTTCTCATATTAATTTTCTTAGATTTTTGGTATCTTTCTCTCTCAGAATCTAGAATAAACTAGAGATCCTGACTAGCAGAAATTAGTATTTATTATTTTAAATTTAATATAGAGAGCCATATTTCAAGGTGTTTTGCAGTTGGTTCTAGTGACTCTGAGCAGTTGTGTTACCTGAGCAGGTTTGAAGACTATACTTGTGTTTATTTAGGGAAAGAAAGGAAGGGGTTAGGACATGTCCTGGTTCCTTTCCACAGGCATGTGGTCACTTAGACAAAGCTAGTTTGGGAGTCCCCTTGACTCTTCTCCAGACCTCTTCTCTACCTCATTTGCTAAAATAAACAAAAAACTGATGGAGTTTATCTCAACATATTACTAATACGTCAATCCCACATGTATCATACCTCTTACATATATTCATTTTATTTCCTTGGCTCATTGAGTATTTTTGTTCTTCCTTCTCCCTTGAACACACTTCTTCCTTTCACCTCCTAAACCTGCCAGTTGTGGCTTGGTAAGAAATGGATATCAATTTTTATTTTGCTCCAAAGTCCTATTATGTAGACATAGCTCTGTTTGGCCCTTAAAGATGTCATTGCAATTTAGATACCTTTTAAATGCACATATGCTGTGAAGGAGTAGAGGCTGTTTCCAGAGTTTATTGCTTCTCTGCAAGCTAGGGCTGCCCAGGACAGGTTCATAGAAATCCTTGAAGTGTATGTAACTTTGTACTGATGCAGACCTTTCACCTTTATCTGCTGAGTGGGACAGCTTTGCTTTACAAATGAAGAAGTGAACCCATTGTCTAGAGTTAAGATTAGGGATTTAGAAGCTGGCATGTAACAATGAATTTACCTGGAAGATAACTGCCTGAGTTTATTCTTTCAGAATTATTCTCAGATTATTCTCTCCAGATTACATCCCAAGTCTGACATCATAGACTTGTCTCTTCTAGAATGACTTACAGGTTGACTCCATTTTATATATTGATAACATGCACAAAGTATTCTTCGACTTTCATAAAATATCTTGAGGCAAAGTTGATGTATTGGACTGGAGGAGTCCCCGTGTATGCTGGAGCAAACAACACATCTGCCAGTAAAGAAGATCCTATACTTCAAAGTAAAGAAGCAGACAGCTTCCTATAGAATTCAGGACTGCTTGATGATGCATGTGAATGACGGTATCTTATATCATCACTATATTTCCTGAAGAGTTAAATCTGCTTTAAAAACACATTTGGCCTCAACTAGGAGTTTGTTCGATATAGTTACATTGCTACATACATTATTAACTCCATACTTATAACAAGAAAGGTATTTTTCTCTTGTAAATTAGTGTCATTCATAGGAGGGCATCAATATAAATACAGTTGGGAAATTATTTTTAGTAGGGAAAGCTGATATACTGAGATTAAATAATTATCATGGGGTTCCATATGGACAAATAAAGGTGAGATGAGGAACTACCTCTAGATAAAGGAAGCCGATGTTAAGTAACCCACAACATTCCTGTGAAATATTTTCTGAGATCTGAGGTAGTGATTCATTAGTAGATAGTGGCAGATGGATTAGGAGGCATGTTGCATTTGGCTAGGCACCGGGGAGAGCACAAAATCAATACACTGCTCTAGAAGCTTACAGTCTTAGTTGGAAAGAGAGACAGGAAAGAATTAAAAAGATTTTACAGGTAGTAAAAGTTACAGGGATTCAAAGAGAATTAGACATCAACATAAGATTGCTTTCAAATGATTTGTAGATCACTGTCTTTTCCGTCTCTTCACATGGCCTGCCTTCTTCGAAGGTCTGTGTCCTAATCTCTTATGAGGACACTGGTCATATTAGGGTAGGGACCACCCCAATGACCTCATTTAACCTCAATTACCTCTTTAAGGTTAATTACCCCAAATACAGTCTCAATTTGAGAGTACTGGAGGATAGGACTTCAACATAAAAATGTGGGGGTTGGGACACATAAGTCAGCCCATAACAGAGTTCTTAAAGAGACTGTAAGGCTCTTACAGACTGTAGGCTGTAAACTGGTGAGACGTCGAAGAATAGATTGGTTCAGTGCAAGGGAGGCAGGTTATGTAGGAGGCTATTGTGGTAGTATAACCAAGCATTATTGTGTAATTTGATGTTTGTGAATAAAGGGGAACTGCTATTTGAAGAAAAGGTATTTTATTTTGGCCTGCTGCCACTTGTGTTCCTTATCCTGGTGTTTACTGGGAAATTGCCCCTTCCTTTTTGTAGACAGATCCTTAGTTTTCTTATTGTTTCATAAAAGCATTACTTTTCTTAAAATATTTCTATTGTCTCCTGAAAATGACTAAAATGTTACATTTGAAAGATGAAATATTAGTGTTGTAAACATCTCATGATGGTTTTGGAGTTTAAAGCAGCATTTTTTAATTTTTTTAAATTACATTAATCTAAAAACTATATGTATATCCTATGCATATTTTGTGGGCAAGTATTTGGCATAATCTTTTTCCTCCAGAAGTTTTTCCCTTTTGGAAAAAATAAGATATTTAAAAAATAATACATATACTATTTCATAAAATAGTGAAAACTTTTTAAAATATTGAAAGTAAAATATTAAAGCAATTCTCCCAAAGTTGGCCAGTTGAGTTAAAAAAATAAAAGTAAAAAGAGACTGAACTTCTTACTCTTTTTCTCCTTGCCTGTGGTGGTGAAATTGTTCTAGGGAATTCATATTTTTATTCCCCTTCTGGTTTTATTTATATCTATGAAAACAACATTTACTATTATTTTCTTGTAAGTCACTCTACCTCCAGATCTAAGGTGCTATAAATAAATGCAGGA